GTTACCCCGAGAGCCCCTGCATGTGAGCAGAGAAGCAGAATTCTGTCTGTCCTGGTAACTTTGCATACTGATGACTGAAGGAGAGCAAAAAACGCTTGAATGTTGCAGAGCATCAAACCAGCTGCGGCATCTTAGACCATCGTCTTCCCGAGCATTCGCCAACCGAGTTGTCCATGACTCCGAGTCACTGCGATACCAACGTGCAGGAGGGGTGGCTGATCTCGGGGCGCCTCTCTGGGCGCCGCTGTCTCCGAGCGAGCAGAACAGAGCTGGCTTTGAGCAGCGCTCGGCGCTGCACAAGTTCCCTTTGTGCATTGAGAAGCCTCCCTGCCCTCGGCAGCCCTTGGGTGTTGCAGTGCTGATTCACCGAGACCTAGACGCTCGCAGAAGCCTTTAATTCTCCAGTCTGGTTGGATTTTGTAGTTGTGACCTGCTTATTTCCCCTGCTGCAACTGCCCATATGGCCGGGACTTCTCAGGGAGCCCGTAGTGATGTGTTGGGGGAAGGATGTATAATGCACGTTGCACTGCAGAATGTTTTTCAGGCACTTGGCAGGCGTCTCTGCTTAGTACAAATGAATAAGTTATTTAAGGAAGTCATTCTTTCTTAAGGTATATTTTGGGGTGATTATTTGTTGCTCTTTGTGCAATTCACAAAGACACAGAGTCATGTGGTGTAATTCAAAAAATATCTTTATTCCCTTCTGCTACCTCTCCCATCTCCTTCCCAAAATCCTGCGCCTCTTTATGAAATAGTGTTCTCATAAGATGTGGAGAGTTTGTGCTTAGAAGGAATTCTTGGTAGTACTTTGTGGTCTCTGGGAACTACCTGGAAAACTGTTTGAGTCAACATTTCCAAAATTGCTCTGTGTTTGGAATAATCACATGCCCGGGTGGGGAGGGAAACAGTGTGCACTTCTGAGGGGCCCCCAAGTTAGAAAACTTTCCACCATAGCCGTTCTGTTGGGAGTTTGTGCTACTCTTACTGCTGGTCTTGCTGCCTGCAGCCCTAGGTACGCTCTGAACACCAACCATACGGCCAGAAATGTGGCTGTTTGAAGTCAGTAGTAGCTCCACAGGCTTAGGATTTATGACGAGCAGGCTGGTTACTTGGACTCCTTAACATCATATTGGGTGCTTTAAGTGCCTTACACACAATGGAAATCTCTTTATTTGTGGTTAGAAGCGGCAGTTACTTGTTTCACATTCTGGCCTGGCTGCAGCTGTTTGAGTGGTTGTTACAAATTCTCTGGTGGCATCTTGCTTATCCCCCAAGTTGTCTGTGTGGTTTTTTTAAATTTGCATTTCAAAGAGTGTCTCATTGCAGCTGCCTCCTAGAGAGCCTCCTCTATCTTTGCAAGGCATGCTTGGACACCTAGGGAAGCCGTGCAGCATTCCTGTGGATAATCTCCTTGGGAAATTCACGGGAAGATTTGCTCTGAATTTGGTGTTGCAAAGTAACCGGGCACAAGGCTCACGACAAATATTTATTTTGGTGAAAAACTTTTTCATACCCACTAGGCTCTGAGCAGTAGCCTCTCTAGTGTTACTCCCCAGGTTCCGTGTGTGCTGGGAGCAAGCCTTAGGTCAGGGATGGGGAGTGCTGGCATCAGAAGGCTCCTCATCCCTGCTCCCAGCTCTCACTGCTAAGAGGTTTCCCTCAGGAGAGCCTGGCCCTGGCTACCCTCCCCTTTCTGCTTGGTGTGGAAGGAGGAGGAGGAGGAGAGCTTTCCTGGGCAGGAGCTGTTGTTGCCTTGTTTTAGGTAGGAAAGCAGGTAATGGGCGAGCGGGGCTGCAGGGCCGCTCGCTCGCTGGGCCCGCATCTCTGCCCGTCTCTTCCTGCCCTTCTTGCCCAACCCATCCCGACTTTTCCCCGCACGCCTCCTTGCCCAGGCCTCCTGTGCGGCCGCCTCAGCGCGCTCAAGAGGAGCCCCTCGCCGGGAGAGAATCATGGAAAAGTGGCCGGGCCAAAGGGCTGCCTGCAGCGGGATGGCGGCAGTTGGCTTGTGGAAGCAGGCTCAGGTCCTTATTCTCCATCTGATTAAAAGACGGACAAAATTTTGCCCTTGGATTCTAATAGGAGGTGTCAAGCAGGATTTTAAACTAGCTTCTACCAGCAGTCCATTTGGAGAAAAACCAGTTAGACACTGAATGTGTCTTAAACCTTTCCATGGTATTGCAGTGGTTTAAATTTCTGGGAGAAAATCAGATGTGTCTACCTGAGTTATGAGAAGGAATAAATGAGGTAAAGATTAGAGGTTTAGTACACAAGAGCAAGAAAAAGGTGTAATATTTTCATAAGGGTAGCAGCAAGCATCTTGAAGAGGTTTATTTTCAAGGAAAAAGTGTTCAATCATGAGCTTCTGCAGAGTAGCTTCTAGATATTATTTGTGACATGGGCGCCCGTGGCACTGACCTGGGGCGCCCATGCCCTGAGCGCCGCGCGCAGCGGGAACGGCCCCGCTCCCGGCTCCCAGCGAGGCTGCAGACATTCCAGCGCCGGGATTACCCCGGCTCCCAGGCGCTCCGCAGGCACTTGTTGCCTAGGAGACAAATGCAATCCAAGGATTTTTTTTATCCTTCCTTTCTGTTTTTTGATTGGCGCCACTATTGACTTTTGGCTCGGAGGAGGGAGCGGAGCAGCGCGCCGAGTGTCCTAAGATGGGAATTAATCACTAACTGATTGCCCCGAATTGCAGTGATTTCCTCTCTCAGGGTTTCCTACGTATAGAGGGACTAATGCGCATTTAAACAGGCGGCTGTGAGGCTCTCTGCACCTGTGACTGTCGGGAAGGCTTCTCAACCGGATGACAGTTCGGTTTCCTTTTTAGTTCTGCTCTGTTGTTGTGTATGTGGAAGAAGAGAAATAAATATCTTAGAAAAAGGAACTTTGCTTGGTGGGAGAGCTTTGGATTAAATGATATCGGGTTTTGCTGCTAACTTCCAAGTTGGCTGTATTGCAATGAAAATACAGCAAATCTGCTCTCTCGGTGTTTCCTTCAACAGGGAGTGTAATTCTCCTCAGCACTTCGTGTGTGAGAGAGTTTCTGTTTTCCAGGGAGATTATTTTTGGCTTTCAGAAGAACATCAACAAACCAAACAAATTCAGCTTTACAGTCATACAAGGTTTTGAAGTTAGTGTTCAGTGGTGACCTCGTCTTGCAAGCCCCTCAGCTCCTGCTTGTCTTGACGGGTTTGGAGGGTTTGATGCCTTCCAGGTAGATGGAAATTCTGTCTTGGATGCAAATGAAAAAATCTAAAGTGGAAAAAACATGTTTTGTTCAAGCAAATACAAATAAGGTAGATTTATTTAAATGTAGCATTTTTTTTAAAGCTTATCCTATGCTGTAAAGAGTAAAGAATCCAGCAAAGGTTTTCTTCTAGAAATGTTCCCAGTTCTGCACAGCTGGCTTTCTTAGAAGGGACTGTTGTGTTCTTGCTGTGTCTCGTGGACGGGACATGTGGGCACCGAGAAGCTTGGATTCCATTTTTTGACTCTGTCCTGTGCTTAAAAAAGTCATTTTTACCCTGCTTACCTTGGTGAGCATCTGTAGTGGTGGTGTCCCATCTGTAGAGGATGGGATAAGTGTGGAAACCTCCCTTTTGCAAACTGCTCTGAGGTACGGAGCACAGGCTTCCGTCGCTGACACCAGCGAGGGCAGTTTCATCACCTGCTGTGGAGCTTTCCGTGCGTTGAGGACCACTAAGCCCGGAGGGAGGAAGGGAGGGAGGGAGGGTTTAAGCACCTTGTACATCACAGGGTGGAGCAGCGTGTCGCGCTTCGTGGGGCTCCCTGAAGGTGACAAGTTTTCGGAAGGAAATGGGTGTTTGTTTCCTCCTTCCATGTGGCCTTTGCAAGTAATCTCGCACTTCCAGCGTGGCTTTGGTGCTTGTTTCTCAACGCACAAAATGCAGGGCCTCGTTCCACGCGCGCAGGTCTGAGGCCTGGAAAGGGATGGAAAGGCGGCTCGAGGCTGTAGCACAACCACCCCCTGGATGGTCTATCCACAGGATGTCCATGTTCACCCGGACTCCCACCCGGGCGCCCTGAGCGGCTGCCCGCGCGGTCACTCCATCCTCGGGCCTCGTGGTTGTTCTCACGTATCCTTGGCAGCCCAAGGCTGCTCCCAGCTCCCGCTCCGCGCGTGTCCGTGGCACAGCCGGGGAAGGCTGTTTTTCTGCTCCCAGAAAACTGTCTGAAAGGTCTGCGCTCCGACCTGGGAGGAGGCTGAGGCGGGACTGGGAATTGCTGGGGGCGGCAGGAGAAAGGGGGAATTTCAGCGTGCTCTTCCCTGTGCTGATGCGCTGCTCGGCACGTTCGGAAAGGGGAATTGCAGGAACCACTGGTCTGACTGATGGCAACTTCACATCACCCTTAAATGGTTTAAATGCTGATTTCGCTGTTTTGTTTTCTTTTTTTTTTGTTTTGGGTTTTTTGGTTACTTTTTCCCCTTGGGGGAGAAAAGATGATTAATTTCCTCTTGTAGTATAATGGCACTGATGTCATGTGGCTGAAGGATTAAGTCCTTTTATTTTTAAAACAGTTGCTAGGGTGTTTAAACCCCTCCTTTCCAGCCCTGTTTCTTGTTAGTTTAACGGTAAAAGGGAAAAGAAAATCACTTTCAGCGAGAATCTACTTTCTTCAAAGTTTCCGTTTAAGAGTAACTGCAGTTTCTTATTTTTCCAATATGTGATGATGGGGAAATTGCCAGATATTATTAAATCAAATTAACTAGTAGTGAGAGAGGAAAAAGAGGCAGTCAAACATTCACTCTTCTCTCTCTCTTTTTTTTTTTTTTTCCTGAAAGTGTGATTTAAACCATACATTTGCAATACTTGTTATGGGAGCAATAATCTCTGGCAAATAAACTGGTGTTCACTTCTGTCAAACAGACAAAAAACCCGAACCCGCTGCTTTTCCTGACAAATACTGCTAAATAAATAAGGCTGTGCCGTTAGATCAAATATTTGATTTTTTTTTTAATTCTTTTTTCTTTGCAGAGTATTGGAAAGGGGTCCTTGTGGTGTATAGACCCAGAATATAGACAAAATCTTATTCAGGCTTTGAAAAAGACACCCTATCACCCATACTCGCATGTGTTCAATACACCTCCCACATCTCCTCAGGCATATCAAAGGTAAGAACTAGCTGCATTTTACAACTCTAACTGTTTTCCTCCCGTGTTGCCGGTGACTCCGGGGCGAGAGGCGGCAGGCGCTGGGAGACGCTCTGCGCCTGTTGGTGCTGCCGGGGGGTTGTAGCTACAACCGACCGCCCTGGCGCCTGTCCCAGGGTGTCGCGAGGGTACAGGCGCGGCTCCTGCTCTGCTCCAGGGATGGGTGCGGGCTCGGGGGGTCGGGGTTTCAGTCTGCTTGTTGCTTGTGGCTGACGTTAGGGAGCGGGGCGCTGCAAAGAGGGCTGCTCTCGGGGCTGGGCGTGCGGAGAAGCGAGCGCCAGGTCTTTGCGCAACCGCTTTCCCCCGGTTGCTAAGAGGGGAATTAACCTCTTCCCTTGTCCCAAATTCGCTCGGGCTGGATTGGAAGCGCTTTTCCCCTCCGCATGCCGGCTGGAGCCGCGCGTGCAGCGCCCGCCGCGCGGGGCCTGTGGCGGCCTCGTCCCGCGCGCGCCGGGCGCCGCCATGGGGAGCAGCTGGGCTGGCGGGCGGCAGCGCCCGCCCTTGCCGGGCGATTAGCGTGATGGTAACCACGGCAACGCGGGCGTCGCCGTGGCAACGCGTAGCGGAGACAGGTGCAGTTGCATCACGCGGCGGTTGGTTGCCTGGCAAAGGGACAGGCCGTTAGGACGCAGCGCTGCGCTGTCGCTGCGGCAACGGCTAATCCTGCCTAGCAACGGCCGCGGGTGAAACTTTTTTTTTGTGTGTGTGTGTGTGTTAAATGGGGATATTGTACCTGGTTTTGTCTCGAGTGGAGATCAAGAGAACTGGGGGGAGGGCTTTTCTTTTCCTTTTTCTCCCCCCCCCCTTCATTTTTCCTTTCTTTTTGCTCAAGTGAGCTGCTGTCACCCAGCATCAGGAGGTGAAATGAGCATGGGCTTTCCATGACCGATGGAGTAACCGAGGTCCCCCTGTGGCACAGGCCTCAGCACAGCCTGTACCAAATTCTGGCTGATGTAGCGCTCTACGAAATGTTTTCCATAGTACCACTGTATTGGGCTTTTTTGTTTTTTCCACATTCATTTTTCCTTGCTCCCAGCAGTCCCTCCTCTGCTGTGCTTTGCAGAAGGACAGATAAGTAATTTGGGTAATTGCATTACAATTGTAATTCAAATGTTTGAGCGAGCTTTATTTCCAGAGCCTTACTTCATCGCCTGCCTTGCCTTTCTGTTCCTTACGGATCTGTTGGCTGCGCGTGTGCGGGTTCACACAGGGGCTCTCGCTTCACGTAGCGCCGTGGTGCCCATCCAGCACGGAGCGCCCAGGGTTTTGATCCCTCCAGTCCCCAAAAGAAAAACTGGCAGCTTCATGGCGCCCTGAGTGGCACAGCCCCAATCCCTCGTCCTCCAAGGCTCTTCCAAAACGTGCTGGTGCCTGAGCGCCCTTGGAGAGACAGCCGCACTGTCCCGTGGTGCTGCGCGAGCACACTCGTGTCTGTAGGCTGAGGGAGAGCGGGGGGTGTTGAAATACCCCCAGGGAGCCCCAAAACGGCAGGGAGCTTCCCCTGCCTCCCCTGGTAGTGAGGGACAGCGCGGCCGCCGCTGTCCCGTGTTTCTGACGCAGGAGAGCCGGGGCCCACGAGCCGGAGCCCCGGCATCCGGGGGCTGCTTGTTCTGGAAGAGTGGTGGCCCCCGCGCTGTGGGTCCCTGGGTGTCCTCAACAGCCGCACCAACAGGCAGAGTGTCACCCTGCCGCGGTGTTCGCAGGGTTGGCGCAAGTCACCGCTAACGGCTGCTGCGAGACGTCAGCGCGCGGCCGAGCGAGGCCAGCGGGGACTCCTGAGCTAACTTCTTCAAACACTCGCAGAGAGCAGCAAAGGCGCTTTGGGGGTTCATTTGTGATGTGCTCAGCGAGGAGCTGGGATTTCCTGCTTGGAAGAAGCTTTTTCTGATTGCGAGATGATGTATTTGGAAAAAAAGCCCTGGATGGCCGAACTCTGGCACGGTTACTTATCTGGGGCTGATGACGGGGAGAAAGGGTGTCACCTCATACTAATGACGTATATCCAGAAGAACATAATTCACCTGTGTCCACCTATTAGGATCCCTGGGGGAACTGAATTAATCGAGGCAGTTACAAGACCTGTAACCTTGGTGCGACTCCATGGGGACAGAGTGACCTACTGCGCGTCTTTATCAGATGTTTGGGAAGACTAAGGATACACAAATGAATCACATGCTCTGTCTAGTGTCTGCGTAAGCGGCTTAGTGATGAGCGGGCACGGAGTGGAGGAATGTTTTATAAAAATACCCAAGCAAGACGACTGCTGAACGTACAGATTCCCCTTCTCTGAAGAGAACTAACTACATGAGATTTTACAACAGCCCGAGCGTGTCCTGCCTAGATACCAAAGGCAGGACTTCTTTTATGGAGGAGCTTTACAAAGCTAGCCCACATGTTTCGGTGGCTGACTCAATGTTATGCTAGTTTCATTGGAGATTAGACATATGACCCAAAGCAGGAAGTTCAAGGGATAGATTGGGCTCCATGTTTGGGGAAGACCATGGTTTGGGAAGTGGCACCAGCAGTGTTTTTGTGTATGACGGAATTGCCTGAACTGCTGCTGCTTTTTTGAGGGCGAGGAAGATTATCAGTGAGCTTTAAGAATGATATAATAATGCAGACAGTTTAAATTTAATGTGTTAAATGTTGCATGTGTGTTCTTTTAAAAAAAGAACAGCTCACATGGCAAAAGAGTTGACTTTTTATTTAGTTCTTTAAGATAAATTTCAAGGGTGAGCTGTGACATGGCGTGCTAAAGTAAAAGCGCTCTGCTGTGTGAGGAAATGTGTGTGCTTTAGTCTAAGGGTTATAGTGTGTTTCTTTTTAAATATTTACAGTTCTGTTGGCAATAGCAACCTTGAAATGTATTTATAGACACAAACTTGGTTAAGTAACTATGCAAGTCAGTGCCCTGCTATTTCGTATGGATGTTTCACCTTCAGCTTTCTGCCTCTGTACTGAAATATAGGTGTGATTTTTTATCTTTTTAATGTTTTGAGGAGATCTTGAAATGGATTTTTCTTTTCTCTTGAATGCGTTATGTCAGGCTAGTTCTCAATTATATCAAGAATTTTTAAAGTAAGAGGAAATACTATCAAGAAATGTAATCTAAAATACCAAATACCACTAGCTTCATTAAATGAATAAGTTATTGAAGATTTCCATGATCTTTTAGGAGTGTTGGCTAGATCACTTTAGAGACTCTTATCACTTCTAGTGCATTTTTCCATGGCCTCTTTTCTTTCTTTTTTCTTTTTTTTTTTTTTTTTCCCATGTGTTTTCCTAGTCAGTTTGTTAAAGCAGTGGCTGTACGTATATATATACACGTTATATATAACCGTTGAAATCACAAATGTGCCTGAGGTATAAAGAGTGGTTTCCTCCTTGCATTGCCCCGATCTGGCCGTTGATGAAAGCTTCATCTGGTTATTCTTTCTTGTTGGTGCCTTTGGGTGACTTGGCTAAGCTCTGCTTTAGGAAGAGCCGAGAGCCCAGGTAGCATGAACCTCAGCCTTAGACGTGGAGTCATCCCAGGCGTGTGCAAGCATTAGGAAAGACCAGGTGCAACCAGAAGGCACAGGAGGCACCACCGCAGCCAGTGTGCTTCATGTCACCTCTTAGAGCAGTGCTTCATTTCACACTAGGAGCGTGCTGCTCCTCCATGCAGTTTTGCTTCCTCTTTCTTTGTCAGTGTGTTTGATAAGAGGAGGAGGTTCATAGAGGCTGGAGGGGTTGGAGGTGCAGTGCTTGGTGCACTTGGTTTAGGTGTTGAAATCAGAAATGCCATTTATGGCCTTTCTATTTTTTTTTGTGAAAAAATCCTCTGAAATAAATGTTTCCTAATTATTCAGTATTGTAAGTTAAAACACCAAAGGCATTTTGGAGCTTCTCAATGCAGGAAAGGGCTTGGAAAATATATTGGTTGCCCTCTGTAGTCTGGAAGCAAAGATTAAATTCTGCGCTCTTGTTTTTGCTTTGGTAGGAAGGAAAGCTGACCATGGAGCAACCTCATATTTCTGTGCAGGTTGCAGCCCCTTTATCGAGATTAATCTGGATATTTTGCTTCCTGGAGAGAATGAGAATGAGTGTTCTTCCTCGGTGCTGTGATAAGCTGGAGTCTTTGCAGGGATTTTGTTTAGTTGTCTTTGTAGTTTAGAGATCACAAGGAACAGTTATTCCGAACTGTGCTCTCTGACACAATAATTTATCTTGATTTGAAGATCATCCATCTTTTGAGATTATATTGCCTTATTTCTGTCTGATGTGTTAAGGAACATTGCTTGTGTTAGATGCCAGATAGGAATACCAAAAAAACCACTCTATAACAAAACCTTTACTTGAGTGACTGTCTGTAATGCTATCAGTGTATAAATATTTGAGGATTTGCCAGCCTGGGCCTTGTTTTGTGATGCGTTCCCGTCAGCTCTGCCGCCAGTGGATTCCCGTGATGCGGGAAGCGACCCACTGGCTGTGGTTTTATAATGCGAAGAAGATCAGCTCTTGCCTTTTGTAAGGGATATTCTTCACCATGCAATTTGGGGGGGAGGTGGGCAGGTGAATTAAGAAAGAAGGCAGCAAATAGTGGGCAGAGGAAGGAGAGGAGAATCTGGGTCTATCCTCTTTCACACAGCAGGGCGTTCGTGGCTTCTTTTTGTGCCACCTTCACGCTCCTCAGGAGCGGCTGATGGAAATACAAACAAACCTCTCATCACATTTATTCCTCCCAAAGTTAGAGAAATGTTTCTGGGTCTTCTTAGTTAAGATAATTCCAGTTCTTTCTCATCATGCCTCCAAAATAGCACAAAAGTCTTGCTTCCTATTTAGCAAACAAGTACATGTTTTATTCTTCAGATCTTCGTTTAGGCTGCATGTTTTAAGACCTTTGGTAATAGGATGGACGGCAGAATCACCATCCTGTGTTGCTTGTTTAGAGGCTGGGCAAACACCAGCTTGTGCCATTA